CGATTATTAATCGTGGAAATAAAGGCAACGATATAGATATCTTTGGGTATACCAGAGATATTTGTTTCGTGGGAAACGTTCTTGAAATAGAATCCAAACCCTAGAGACATTGAAATTGCCATGCCACATGGGGAGTGATTTTCAATCTGCAGAACATTTCCACCTAACTGCCCCAAGACTCAATCCCTGTATTTGATTTTTTTCAATCTATGTTATTTGTTAGGTACATCGCCGTTTCTGTACGTGTCTATTTCATCCAGACTTCCTCGAGAACCAAAGCTAATTTTGGCGTCGTACCTGGAGGAAACATCTTCATTGATACTCAAATTACCAATTATTTATTTTTTTTCTCAGCTCTTAAGCGGGCGGTATTCTATTAATCCTGCGATCTTACTGGTTCCGAGAGCGGGCAGTATTCTTCCATCTGGCCCGCCCACAGAGGGCTGTAACCTTTTCGCGTCGAGTCACCTAACGGGACATCTTAAGTTTCGTTGCAACTTTTCACAAAATATATATCTCATTTTACCGCCTGGACAGAATTTTTAAGCAATGACTTCGGTCTCGACCTTTTGGCGATTATAACAATAACTCTCTCTTCTCTCTCGCTCTAAAATCACTTTGGGTTTTGGGCAAAAATTTATTTGGAAATAAATTTTGTGGTACTAATATTTCAAAAAGATTAAAACGCGGCCTAAAAACAGTTTTTTATGTAATAATCGTTCACAAAAAAGCAACTTAGAAAGTTACAACGAGAAGTAGTTGCAGTTAACAATTATGTCAATCAATGTGACTCTCATTCATTGATACCTTCATTCCGCAACACAATTTGTTTGTTTGTGAAAGGTTGAGCGAATTGTTCATTTAAGTTCTTCTAGTCTTTAAATACACTTTCTCCCATTCTTTGCAATTCCCTTGAATTTGGACTTTTCTACCGTAAAATTCACAACAGAAACCAATGGAACTCGATTAATAAAAGTCGCGTTGAATCCCCTTGAGTCTAGCTGGAAAGAGTCTCATTGACCTCAGCTTTTCGGTGAAAGAAAGAAACAATTTACACACACCAGTACAGAAAACAAACAAGCAGACTGACAACCCCAAAACACACATTTGCATTCACTCACAATTCGACTTTGCGTGACATTTTAACAGGGAACAGGGGTAAATCTTCGAAGATTAATAGTCGTTGGAAATAAAACAATATTTTCCCTAAGATCTCTGAGTGTTCTTTTTTTACGAGAAGATCGACTCTTGGTCATTTTACTCGTGTGTGTTTATCATACGAGTATTGCTGTTTATTCAAAAGCGTTCATGCGCTTTTTTCCTCTTTAATTGACAGGTGTCGTGTCGTAACAGTTACTTGTCAAAAAATGTTTAAAGTTTGCTTGGAAGCCTTTTAAATTACCTTTACCAATAAAAATGTCTCGGTGAAAGCCTTCTCTATAATTTGAATAACGTCTGTTTTCTTTATCATCCCCTCGCTAAAACATTGTTAAGTTTATGGAATATTTTCCCGTAATTAAACTCGTAATCGTAGCCCTAAATCATTCGGGCTCTTTGGCAATCATTTTGTTATGTGGTAGAAAAATATAGAAATGT